GCCTTTCATTGTTTTCATTGCTGGTGGTTTGGATTGAGCCTAGTGCTCTACCACTGCACTACACTCACAGTCTGGCAACTTCTTAAAAGAAGATGACAATGATCCTTGCCACATGGACTGACTTATTCATGAAAGATTTCGCTGTAGAATGTGATACTGCTTGCTATAATTTTACCTCCAGTGGAACTTGTTCCAAATTTAAGAGTTGATCTTCTCCAACCCTGACCTGCTTTATTAACTAGGCTGATGCAATACTATAAATCCTTTATTGATGTTTCAATATTCACACAAATTCATAGGGGAATTCAATCTCTAGAGGCTACTTTCGTGTGCATCGTCCTATCTATAAATGTTTTCCATGAGATTGCAGTAACTACTTATAATTTTAGTTCTCTTGCTAGTTATACATCTTTAGTTATCTTCTCTACTGAAACCTTGAACCACTTAAAATCATTTGGGAGGGGTGAAATCAACTTCTTCCACTTGTTCACCTCCTCTTGAGTCATATCTGAATGGCATTTAGAAGGGTGAATTCTCTCCAGAAGGTTTTCAATTTCCTTTGCCCAGACTCTTCTGAGGAATCCTGAGCTATGGCAGCTTTACCTTTACAAAATATGTGTGTATATATTTTTTTAATTTTTTTTGGGGGGGGGGGTCAGTCATGGGGCTTGAACTCTGGGCCTGGGCGCTGTCCGTCAGCTTTTAGCTCAAGGCTAGCACTCTACCGCTTGGGCCACAGCGCCACTTCCAGTTTTCTAGTGGTTTACTGAGATAATAGCCTCATGGCCTTTCCTGCCCAGGCTAGCTTTGAACCGTGATCCTCAGATCTCAGCCTCCTGAGTAGCTAGGATTACAGGTGTGAGCCACCGGCACCCAGCTACAAAATGTATTTCTTAAACAGTAAAGCTTCAAAGTCAATTATTACTTTTTTAACCCAAGTTTGCAAAAGGATGTGTTAGTAGGCATGGAAACACAATTTCATTGTACATCTCCTTGGAGCTCTTAGGTGATCTTGTCAGTAAGCAGCAATATTATGAAAAGAATCCTTTCCCCCCCCTGAACTATATTTAGTAACTTTGTTGTAAATACACATATTGACATATAGGCTTTGTCATTCCATTTACACAGCCTAAACAGAGTAGATTTAGCTCAACTGCTAAAGGCCCTAGGAGTTTTGGAACAGTAAATGAGCACTGATGTCAATTTAAAGTTATCGGCTGCTTTAGCCCCTAACAGGAAAGTTGGCCTATCCTCTAATCCTCTTTACCAAGCCCTGACCTCTCCATTAGGAGACTTCAATAGCATCTCTTCTCTTAGAAGGCTGCTTCATCTCCATTGAAAGTTTGCACTTTAGTGAGGCCATCTTTATCACTCACCTCGGCTAGACTTGGGTAATGTGCTGCAGCTTCTACATCAGCTGTCACTTAACTTTGTACATCTATGTCATGGAGACCACTTCTTTTCTTCTCTTTTTGGCTATACTCAGGATTGAACTCCAGGCCTATGTAAATGCTCTTACCATTTAAGCCATTTCTCCAGAATGTTTTTTGCCTTTGGTTTTTGTTTTGTTTTGTTTTGTTTTTTTGTCGGGCTTGAACTCTGGGCTTGGGTGCTGTCCCTGTGCTCTTCAGTTTAAGGCCAGCACTCTACCGCTTGAGCCACAATGCCACTTTCGGTTTCTTGTGGTTTATTGGAGATAACAGTCTCACAGACTTTCCTACCAGGGCTGGCTTTGAACCGCGATCCTCAGATCTCAGCCTCCTGAGTAGCTAGGATTACAGCCATGAGCCACCAGCACCCGACAACCTTTGGTTATTTTTTAAGACTAAGGTCTTGCTTTATGCCCAGACCCACCTGGGCCTCCTACTTGTGCTTCTTTGTGTCACTGGAATAACAAGCATGGTCCACATTGCCCAGCACTTGGTTGAGATGGAGTTTCCTGAATTTTTTATGCCACTTTGCCCAGCCCATGGTACTTCCCCTGTAAAGGGGATATGGATGTGTGCCACCACAATCAGACATTAAGTGATATGGAGTCGTGTGAATTTTTATGCCGGAAATGGCCTGAAAATGAGATATTCTGATTTCTGTCTTCAAACAGCTAGGATTACAGGCTTGAGTTACTGTGCCTAGCAACAGTTTTTTCAACTCAAGAGATAATCTTCCCACCCCCACTCTCACCCTCATCTTTCTCTGATCCACTGGAAAGAAATAAAACCTCTTGTCAGATAAGTGGCACAAATAAACTGGATGATCAGATCTGTGTGAGTTGTCATGTACCCTGAATAGAATTCCCAAACTCCCCTGCTTCAAACATGGACATTCTCTTTCAGAAGACAAGGAGACATAACAATCATTCATCTGGTGGATAATAAGAAATCTCATTTCCCTTTCCTCAAATCCCTGCTCTCATTTGTGATTTGGCATTTTGAGACCAGAGAACCAAACTTTCTGTAACATGTTGAGATGAGTTTCACTAATGTTTTGCCCAGCTTGGCCCCAAACTGCAATCCTCCTGATCTCCACCTTATAAGAAGCTGAAACTATAGGCATAACCTCCATGAAGGACCTATCATTAACTGTCTGATGCCAGTAATGAAACTGTAGCTGTGCAGGGGAATGTCTGTGCTTGTAGGAGTAACACGTACTCAGGAGTGATGGTATATCATTTGAGCAATTTACTTTGAAATGATTCAAACACTTGTGATGTCTGAAAATCTGAGATTGTTCCATTTTCTAAAATAAAAATAAATGTAAATCAAATCATATCCTATCTTACTTTACAGTGACATCCAAAAGTTTGAGGGAAAAAACTAGGAATTAGCCATAGCTGACAATATCTACCTGATCTGGGCTATGGTAATTTCTCGTATTTCATTTCTTAACGTCTTCCTCTCTTACTTGTTATGCACCACCCAAGCTGTCTTATACTGCTCTTTCAGCAGACCAAGCAATTCATCTCAGACATATAAGGCTTTTGCATCTATGAGTGCTGCTTAAAAGGAGTTTTCTCCCTTACAGATCTTTCCCTTTCTGTCTTCTTTCTCTTTTCCTTTTCCCTTTCTTCCTGAAAGAATCCTTCCCTAAGCCCTGTATTAAAATATCTCCCAACCCTCCCACTACTCCATACCCCTTACAAATCCCAGCTTCATTTGATACTTGTTACATCTAATATAAAACATACACGTTTTTCTGCCTCCTCTTATGACACCTTTTTTTTTTTTTGGTCATGGGGCTTGAACTCTGGGCCTGGGCACTGTGCCTCTGCTCTTCAGCTTAAGGCAAGCACTCTACCACTTAAGCCACAGTGTTACTTCCGGTTTTCTGGTGGTTTACTGGAGATAAGAGTCTCCCAGACTTTCCTGCCCAGGCTGGCTTTGAACCATGATCCTCAGATCTCAGCCTCCTGAGTAGCTAGGATTATAGGCGTGAGCCAATGGTGCCTAGCTGATACCTTGTTTTATTCCCCCTTGTCTATAACAGTTCTTGGCATCAGGCAGATACTTAAAGATACATTACTTTTGTTATTCATTACACTATGTGCAATTATACTCAGCTCTCTAAACCAACTCACCATAAGTTTTGTTCACAAATTAAAAAAATCTACAGATTGAGAATTCCACAGTGAAGTGAGTATGGATGGCAAGTCAGAGAAACAGCAGCAGAGCCTATCCAACATTTCTTCCTACAAAGACTCATCATAACCTTTCAGCTTCCCATACAAATAAGAGTCATCAAAGGTACTCAGCCCGCAGGAGTCTCCAGTCCACAAAGAAATTCAGCTCTGTATCCTCAATTGCCCTCAGGCACCTGCTAGAGTGTGATTTATCTTCTACAGCTCTCTGCTTCTTTTCCATGTGATCTTTATGATCACACAAATGGACTTGCTGGGCTGAACAATACTTTTCATCTTTGCAGGTTTTTTCCTATCGTATTTTTATTACTATTTATTTTGGGGGGCAAAACTGGAGTTCCATTTTAGTTCTACTAAATAAAATGCCACAGCCCACTTAATATTTCCAGTATTCTGTTAAGATTTTCTGGATCCACCAGAAAAGATCTCCAGAGTTTAACTGTGTATCAACCATATGATATTAACACAGCAATCTATAAAGCAGATATAAGAACTCTGCTTTGAAATAGTTCATACAAAATTTGGTCACATATAAGAGCATTCAGAATTTCATCTCAAAATATGCATATGATAAACACCTTCAGTTTTTAGAAACGGGAAATTTAGGGCTCATACTTTACAGATGAAGAAACTATGGGACTTCTTAGAGTCTAACTGCCAGGGAAGATCAGAGCTAGAGTTCTTTTGTCTTTCTTTTCACCCAAAGAAAAGTCATACTGTAGCACAGTGTTCTTTATTCCCTAAAAGATATTTTTCTTTAAAAGATATTTTTCCATTGTATATTCCAAATATAGAATGTGACATTGACATGCCCCTAGGAAGAGATGCAGTTTATGTTGTCTCTGGTCAAATGTAGACCAAGGTTTCTAATTGCTTAGAATATACTTCCAACGGAATATAGAAGTAATACTGAAGGACTGCAAAACTAAACCAGTTAAGGTAATATGACTTCAGCCTAGCTCATTTTCTCTCAGAGCTCTCATCTGAGGGAGGCCTAGGCAACACAAAGATGCTCCAACTCACAGCCCCAGCTGTGCCCCTAGCTGACAGCCAGAATTAAGTGCCAGAGGCTAAGTAAACAAATCTTCAGATGAATCTCCCAGCTGGGGAACAATCTTCAGAACAAATCACCCAGCTGAGGCCCCAGAGAAGTGCTAAACCATCCTTATTTTGTCTTGTCTGAATTCCTGATCCACAAAAACCTTGAGAAATAATTATTTTAGGTCACTAAGTTATAAGGTAAGTTAATATGGGGATTCTTCCAGAAGTGCATCACTAATCACCTTGTAAATAGCTATCTAATAGATATTCGTATCATGAAATAAATATTGCTAAGCCAATGAAATAAAGTATTAACTTGTCTTACCATTCTGGAGGTACCATGCTTCCATCCACATCCCAGAATGTGTTTTTGCCATTCATTTCAGTAGTATACATAACCCATCGATGGCGACCTGGATGGAAAGATGTGAGTAAAACACCAAAAACCTTGAAGCAGAAACACATTGTAATGAAGAAGACAACCTTTTTGTTAGAAGACACCTAAGAGGAATGTTTACAGAGTGGTAACACCCTGGGAATAAGACACAATACAAGCTCCAGTAAGGATGTGGTAGGCTTTATCAGGAGCCTGTCTGTCACCACCACAGCATCTGTGAACCAGGGACTGAGACAACTCACTGCTATGGGTGAGGCTCAGATGTTTTCAAAAGAAGAGAATCCTGGCCTCTCCTTCAGCTCCTTGCAGGGGGTAATGATATTCAGGAAAAGAAGTATTCCTCGAGAGACCAGAGCAAATATGTACTTAAAGCAATCACATTTGAATTCTCTAGTTTTTTTTTTTTTTTTAATAAATGATTACTCCTGATGCCTTTGGAGTTTTAAGAACTATATAAAATAAGCATTAGTCACTAGGCAGGAATACATTATATCATCAAATGAGTAAGACTGCTTCTTATTTAACAAATTTCTGTGGAATAGTTGGGGGGATCTAGCCACTCTTTACAAGAACCAGTTTCTACTGTGTTAAATTGGACAAAGGCCTGGACAAATTGAATGAGACTTAGTTTATCTATTACAAGCAAATGACTGTATTTACATCTCAGGGCTGCTGTGTGAAGTGTCACACACATAACACCTGTGTGCTGAAGCATCGGGAAAGTAAGTGCACAATAAACAGTAATGCCTTTTGCACTCTCCCCAATGCCTCTCCCTCAAACAGAAAATAATTAGTTCATTACAGAATGGATCTTAGACCAATAAAGACTAGGTAATCTACAGTTCCCTGGACAGACCCACACAACAAAGAGCTATCTAGCCCAGTGTTAATGGCATTAAGGGTTTAGTCCCATTTTAGATGCTAAAGACTGAGGCTTTGAAAAGTTATATTACCTAGGTCACAGAGTTCTAAAGTGCAGGAACAGATGTTGAACCATCCCATTATCTAATTCTACTTCTAAGGTTCTGTGTTTCCTCCTTTTTTTTTTTTTTTTTTTTTGGGTCTGGTTGTGGGGCCTGAATTCTGGGCCTGGGTGCTGTCCCTCAGCTCTTCAGCTCAAGGCTAGAGCTCTACCACTTGAGCCACAGCGCCACTTCTAGCTTTTTTCTTTTTGCTTATATGGTGCTGAGGAATTGAACCCAGGGCCTCATGCATGCAAGGTAAGCGCTCTACCACTGAGCCACCTTCCCAGCCCCTGTGTTTCCTTCTTAAACTTGATCATATTTCTCCTTTGAGGATATTAAACATCAGCCTGTAACAACACAGCTGTGTAGGTTTACATCATTCTTTACAGCATCAAAATATTCTAAAAAGTGTTCAGAATCATCAGGACCAATGGATGTACATCCATATATATTGCTTTCAGAATTCACTACTAAGATGCTGCTGCCAATGAGTCTTTGTTTTGCAAGAATATTTGTAGTATGGATTCTTAGAAGTGGAAGTGGTGAGACAAAGAATATAGGCAATGTGAAATTTAACATATATTACTAAATTGTCCTGCGAGGCTGGCACTAACCTGTGTATTCCAATGGCTCTCCTCACATTCGAATTTGTCAGATTGAAAAATACTTCAAAAATTCATATATAGGAAAAAGATACTTTAAAAAAAAGTTGTCAAGGGGCTGGGAAGGTGGCTCAGTGGTAGAGCGCTTGCCTTGCATGCCTGAGGCCCTGGGTTCGATTCCTCAGCACCACATAAACAGAAAAAGCTGGAAGTGGGTGCTATGGCTCAAGTGGTAGAGTGCTAGCCTTGAGCTGAAGAGCTCAGAACAGTGCCCAGGCCCAGAGTTCAAACTCCACGACCAGCAAAAAAAAAAAAAGTTGTCAATTTTGTAATTCCAAGTGCCCATGAGTTTTAAAATTCCACTTGCAGCCCAATGTTTAGGATACCTATGAGATTTTTTTCCCCCTCGTCTTTTTTTTTTTTTTTTTTTTTTTTGAAACTAGGTCTCATTAGGTAGGTTAGGCTGGCCTTGAACCCTCCATTCCATCCTTCCTATAATCTCTCCTGAATCCTGGGATTACAGGCCTTCACCAACCTAGAATTTTCCATATTAACCACTTAAGTTGTTTTCCAGTGAAGTATCTTTTTTCTATTTTCCCACTGAGTTTTTCATACCTTTCCAAGTGTTTTGTAGAAAATAGATCCAAATCAAATCCCACTCGCACTCTAGTTATACATACCAAAAATATTGCACTCACCGAAAAACTGCTTGTTATCCTCATAGTACTTGTTTCCATACTTGTCTTCCCCCACTAATGTACCAACCTTGACATCATTTGTCCTGTACATGCCCAAAAAAGAAAAGACATTTTAGATGGATTTGTTGTTGAAGAAATAAACAGTAATAAACTGAAAATACCCATGTACAGACACAAACTACAAAAATGAGGAGACTCTGAGAATGGTCACCAGGTCGCCCATTTCTAGCTCCTGCCAAGCAGCTACGAATCAGCTTTCAGGTGAAGAGTTCCAGAATCCGTAAAACAGGACTATTTATTTTTATCTACTATCCCATTATTCACAGGCTCTAGAGCTAACACCTTCAGGAAGCCCGAGCGTTCTCATCTTCCTAAAAGGTCTTGAACATCTCCGGTTCATCCCGGGTCTCCTGCTGGTTTCCCACGTGCCGTCGGAAGGTCAGGCCCAACGCGGACCATGTCCACCGCCCTCGGCGGTGACCGAAGGCCGAGACCGAAGGCCAGTGCGGGAGAAACTTCGCCAAGGTCACTAAGTGAATGAATGTCGGCAGCGCTCGCTACGTTCCAGGCGCAGGCGCGCGGCCGCCCTCCCTCCCCTCGGTGAGGTGTCGCCTCGGGGTCACACAGCTCCATCTCCACGGTCTGCGCGGGTGCAGACCCGGACACCTCGAGGACAGTTTAAGCCCCAGGACTGCAGGGATCCGGCCGCCCGTCCTTGACAAAGCTGAGGGCTCTCCAAAGTGGTCCAAGCCCGAGCCCCTTTCCAAGCCACCAAGCCGGCCTCGCCACACGGACCGAAAGTGCAGGTCTGCAGGCTCACCTTAAGAAAGCCCGTAGGTACCCGAAGAGGCCGCCGTGGCCGCGATACTGCCCTAATCCGCGCCTCAGGACCTCCACCAGCTCCATGTTTTCCTGCAGGCCCCGCCTTCCGGGGACGCCAGGAAAACACCACCGGGCGCTTCCTCCCGGGGCGACAGGAGAAAGGTTCCCACCCAGGGCTGGCTGAGGGGGTGGGCCCGCGCGTGCGCAGATGCGAAGCTCGCTGCGGGGTTGGACGGGGTCTCAGGGGTGGGGGGTGGGGAGCAGAGGGAGGAGTTTGGGCTCTCAACTCAGGTTCTGTGGGTTTCTAAAGCAAAGGCGTCGTAGGTTTTCGTCTTCAGAGGTGGCATTAGAAGACAGACTCGTAGAAAGCCCAGATGGGTCTTCCTCTGTGGTTAGAAATTGCAGTCTCATTGGCTCAACATTATGCCAAAAATTCCTCCTATCGCTCAGGTGGCCCCCTATCCGTTGAACCACGTCGCCTGGCGGGCTCTCCCTCCCCCAGCCCCGCCCTGTTATTTTGGAGGTGGAGTCTCAGTGACTTCTTGGGACCCGCAGAGTGGCTAGGATATCAGTAGGGTATCAGATGTGACCACTGGTACCTGGTTCATAACCATTTTTAAGGGTACAGTAGTGTTAATTACACGCTCTAATTAACATCTCTAGAATTTATTCATCTTACAAAAGGAAAACTCCATATCCATAAAACAGTCCCCCCCGCCCCCAAGTCCCCATGGGATCCACATTGCTTTTTATTTGTTTGGTTACTTTAGATATCTTTGTAAGTAGGATCATGCACTCTTTTTATGACTGGCTTATTTTAGTTAGCATACATCCATGTCCACTCATAGTATATGGCAGGCTCTTCTTTTTAAGCGCTGAAGAGTTTTCCATTTTATGTATATAACTTTGTTTATATATATGTTTGTTTTGGAGACAGAAAAAGGCCAGCCCAGGATAACCTCAAACTTCCTGCCTCTGCCTCTCCAGTCCTGTGATTACAGGTGTGTACTATACTTAGCTACAACGTCCTTTTCTGTATCCATTCATTTGTCCATGGTCACTTAAGTTGTTTCTACTTTTTCTTTTTTGTCGGTTGTGGAGCCTGAACTCTGGGCCTAGGCACTGTTCCTCAGTTCTTCAGCTCAAGGCTAGCAGTCTACCACTTGTGCCACAGTGCCACTTCCAGCTTTTTCTGCTTATGTGGTACTGAGGAATCGAACCCAGGGGCTCATGCATACAAGGCTGAGCCATCTTCCCAGCTCCATGTTTCTACTTTTTTTTTTTGCCAGTCATGGTGCCTGAACTGTGGCCTGGGCGCTGTCCCTCCGCTCTTCAGCTCAAGGCTAGTGCTCTACCACTTGAGCCACAGTGCCACTTCCAGCTTTTCCTGCTTATGTGGTGCTGAGGAATCGAACCCAGGGCCTCATGCATGCAAGGCAAGCAGTCTACCACTGAGCCACCTTCCCAGCCCCATGTTTCTACTTCTTGAGTATGGCAAATAATTCTGTAGTGAACAGGGTTGTATAAGTATCTGAGATTCTGTTTCTCATTCTTTTGAATATATACTCAGAAGCTACATTATTGAGTCATGATAATTTTACTTTTATTTTTTTTTTGTTTGTTTTTGATGGTTTCATTCCTATCATGCCCCTACCATATTTGGGATCAAAACTATTTTCCTCTGGGCACATTGAATTTTAAGTTTGCTTTCTGAGATTATTTTATCTTTTTTTTTTTTTATTGTAAAGATACTATACAGAGGGTTACAGTTACATGAGTGAGGTAATGAGTACACTTCCTCTTGAACATTGTTACCCCCTCCATTGTTTTCCCCCTACCATCCCCTCCCTCGCTCCCTTCCCCAAGGTTCTTTTTTTTTTTTTTTTTATTGTGATTAAGTGATTACATAATTTCCGGAAATTCACAGTATTGTGGAATAATGATGCTCATTTAAAGTCACAAGTTCATTCTAACTTTCCTGGAGCAAATTGTATATCACAGTCTGTAATATATAACGGTGTTCACATGTTATATACCATATATGTGATCAGCAGCATGGGGATATTTAGTAGTGGTTCAACCAGATGAGTGGGAGTTCTTTGTTTCTTAAGTCCTGTTAGTTTTGTCATATCACCTAACATTTTGGATTTAGCATCCACTTATCAGGGAGACCATATACCGTTTGTCTCTTCGTTCTTGGCTAACCTCGCTCAACATGATTCCTTCTAGCTCCATCCATTTCCCTGCAAATGCCATTATTTTGTCATTTCTAATGGCTGCATATTCCATTGTGTATAGATACCACAATTTTTGGATCCATTCATCTGTAGTGGGGCATCTAGGTTGTTTCCATATCCTAGCTATTGTGAACAGTGCTGCAATAAACATGGAGGTGCACGTGTCCTTGTGTATTGGTTCCTGTTGTTCAGGGTAGATGCCGAGAAGTGGTATGACTGGGTCGTAAGGGAGGTCAATCTTTAGCTTTCTAAGGACCCTCCAGACTGCTTTCCAAAGTGGTTGTATAAGTGTACATTCCCACCAGCAGTGTAATAGGGTTCCTCTTTCTCCACATCCCCTCCAGATTTGTGGATGTGGGACATTCTGACTGGGGTAAGGTGGTATCTCAGGGTTGTCTTTATTTGCATTTCCTTCACCACCAGGGATGATGAACATTTCCTCATGTGTTTCTTTGCCATTTTTATTTCTTCATTTGAGAAGTCCCTCTTTAGTTCCCTTGCCCATTTAGTAATTGGTTTGTTAGGTTTGGGAGGGATTATTTTCTTGAGTTCCCTGTATATACAGGATGTTAACCCCTTGTCTGATATTACTTTTAATTTTTAAAGGTACTTACCTATTGAGGGGAAAAATGGAGGAAAGCAAAGATAGGGTGACATTGTTTAAAAACAAAATGTACTTATTACCTGACTTATGAAATGGTAACCTCTCTATATAACACCTTAATAATAAAAATAAAATCCTATACATACATATTTAAAAAATGCTTCCCTATTGTTTTTCATAGTGGCTATAACCACTTCAGCCATGAGATTAGTTTAAATCTCTTGAGGCTTTTCAGGGAGTGACATTTATCAAGATGCACTGTATTCATAAAATGCTTTGTTGAATGGCAACTCCTTTGAGCACTCCTGAAAGACTACGGATGTCTATGTATGTGTGTGTGTGCATATATATATATGCACACACACACATACACAGACATATATATATATAAATGAAAGCATCCACTTGGCTTTGTTAACTGTTGCTGTTTGCTGTTGGGACTCAGCCATGAGACTATGAGGAGCAAAACAGAGGGACTATATGTACATGCTCTGCCTTGTTCTACTTGAAATCCCAGAAAACAGCAACTATTAACAGCTAGACACATCTGAGTGATCCCCAAAATGTACTTTGCAATAAAATCTAAATATTTTATTTATGTGTGTTAAAAAAATCAACAAATGGATGTAACAAAACAATTCATCATGAAATCTGAACATTACTTAACAAGCCCGCTTATAACATTAGTGGACTCTAAAATGCTACAGGCTGATGCTCACAATAGCAATATGGGAGCCCTCCTCCTCAGCAGACCCTACTCTGACCGGAGCAAAGACAACTGTGTTAAACACCCTTATTTCCCCCCCCCAATAAACTGGTGAAATCATGCTGTTTGGATACTTTCAGGCTTGCTTCTTTTAGTACTGGATAGGATCTCTACTACAGTTTATGTATCCATTCTCCTGTCAATGAGGTTTCAGACTAGTTTTTTGTTTATATTCTCGTACAATGCTGCTGTGAATTTTTTTTCCCTCTTTGGTGATGGGATTAAATCTTTGTGAATGCTAAGCACTCCTTACCACTGAGCTACTACATTCTCTGCCTCATGACATAAAGGATAGACAAACATTGCTTTGAATAAATAAGACACTGAAATAAAATATATTAGCAGTATACAAAAAATTGTAATTCAAGTTGCTTTTAATATAGTTTTAAAAACAATTCCATATGTAACTACAAATTTAATCAGGGAAAAAATATCCGAAAGTCTCTTAATTAACCATTAATACATTGCTTTCTTTTTTTTTAAGTCCTTGGCTTACTCTCTTGTATTTATAAAGTTTTAAACTACTGATTTTTCCACTTCAGCATTTTATGTTTAATGCACATTTTTCCCAGCTGATAATTATAAAGCTGTTGAAAACAAAACATGATTTCAGTAGGGAGAAGTTTCCTTTAATAAGTTGGTAAAGATTACAAGATAATATTTTTAAACTTTTCATTACTATTAAGTTAGTTATTAGTAAATTTCACCCCTACCCCCAAGTTCAGCTTCTTGTCTGTTGTAAAAATCTTCATAACAAAAATGTACTTTGACTGCAGTAAAACCTTCTATTTGGTTTTTTAAAAAAATCAAACAATAGATGTAAATAATTCATCATGACAGTAAGAGATCTGCCTGTGGTGACATGTGAAATGGCATGTGTGGAGTGTACCAATCCAGCTGTAGTGGCAGTGACAGGCTCTGCTGATCATCACGCTAATGGAACAGCAGAACCTCTGCTTCCTCGTGAAAAGCTTCAAAATAATGGATGAATCCAGTTTGAAAACAAAGATAGCTATGATACACCCACTACTTTAAAAATCATTGAGTTTTTATAATCTAACAGATATTGGCTAAACCCCAGGAAAAAGCCAACACTTTGTACCACAGGTCAAAGAGGAGGGTGAGGTGGGTGCTTTTTGTGGAATGGAAGAACAATTTTAATACCCATCTTAAAATGTTGAAAACATTTTGGGCTCAGTCTGTAATATGTTTAAAACAGAAGTAAACCAAAAATGGGTTAACCAAGAACCTCATTCTCAAAACCACATATATAGAAAGTGCTTGTAACTAATATCATACAACACTAAAAATCAATGACCTAGGTCTCATTGCCAGCAATGAGAGTGATCTATGCTAAAGGATGTCTTGATATTTACAAAAGCCAAAAATATATATTCAATTATTATTATTTCCTATAGTTCTAACATTATCATTATACCACTGAGCATAAAATGGTAATAAAATACCTTCAACCTGGTAATAAAAACAATTACATTTGGAAGAGTAAAAGGGAAGGTCATCCCTA